GAGGGTCTTGGGTAGGAGGGGAAGGCCGGCAGGTTGGAGAAGAAGGTAGTGGCCAGCAGAGGCAGAGTGGAGGGCAGTGGGGCGCAGAAGCCGCGGTCCTCTCCGCGGGCACGGACTTCGGCTGCTCTCTGAGCTCAGGGTGCACCTGGACTGGGACTTACCTCCCCCTCCAACCTCATCGCCAAGGCTGGGGGACAAGCGGGGCCAGAGAGATGAGAGGGGCAGCTAACCCCGAGCAGTTGAGGGCTGTGCCAGGCAGGGAGACAATTGTTCCTATTATTCGGAGCTGAGGCCCAAGCCTGGCCTCCCGCCCGGTCGGGGGGAAGCATCGCTAACTGGATGGCGATGGATAGAGGCGCCCTGAGCCCTCGGCGTCATGTCAGACCCGGGGCAATTACTGTCCCGACAGGATGGACACACTGTCCGCCACCCTGACCTCGGCGCGCGGGCTCACTGGCTGCCCAAGCCGCCTCGCGGTTCTCTCTCTCCTTTACAATAACCCGACTTGACATAAATAACTCCCCCGTGCTTGTCTACCTCTGCTTGACCTCCTGAACCCGCAGAAACCTTAGCTGCATTTAGCAAAATTACATTTTTCTTTGGGGGAAAAAAAAGCTGTTAAAATGGCAAATTCTGGTCCCCTGTCTTGTCCACCTCTAGTTGGGGTTCTGGAGTGGCTTGGAATTTACATTGTTGTGAGACAAACCAACTCGCTTCTGCTAAGACAGATTTCTCCTGCTCATGCCAGGGGCACGGCTGAGCTGTTCCAGGTACCCTGAGTTTTCCAAGATGACCTACAGGCACTTGTCCTTCCAGGCAGTTGTCAGGTCTCGGAAATCCCCTCCCCCTGCTGGTCCTTGATGCGGGAGGGGATAGTGGCTGTCATGGGTGATGATCCACTGCTTGGTCCCAGGCTGTCTAAGGGTGCAACTGGGAAGCCAGATCGATGGGTAGGAGCAGCCTGTCGCCCTGAGTGAGCTCTCGCTGACCTGATCTGGCCAGGGTTGGGGAAAGGGTTCGGAAGTGCCATGCTGGCGCCATGGGCTGCTGTCGCCAGGCGCCAAGACAGGAGGGAGCCGGTGGTGGAATCATTCCAAGGATTCCAGGGAAATCGCTTGGCCAGGTCACTCCAGCAGGAGCAGGCCTTGGGATGTCAGAGCCAGCTTTGGTTTGCAAAGTGTGGGGGCTGGTGGTGGGGTGGGGGAGGCATATAGCATTACACTGCCACTGTCTTCCTGCCAGCCATCTCTGGCCTAGTTAGACCCAGCTGGCCACAAGTCAGAGGATCAAGACATGATCTCAGAACTTTAGAGATAGAAGGGCTCAGAGGTCAGATGGTCAGACTGACCTCCAAGTGTGAAAGTATAGCAAGTCTCATTCACTCCCAGCCAGGTTTGGCCTCCTAAACATCCCTGATTTCCTCACCTGCAGAGGAATAGGTGAGTTGCTGAGGTTGGACCCGGCCAGAGTAAGCTCTCTTGAGCTTAGGTCCTGCAGCCTTGGATTGCCTCATTCGAGAGTGGTAGGAAGTGGCAGCTGCAGGAACAAGACCTTGACTTAGCAGTTGTAGTAAAACAAAACTAACTAGCTAATCTCAGGGTTCCAAAACTGTGGGGCCAGATTTTCTTATGCTTTGTTTTCTTTCTATTAAAAAAGGATCTTTTTAATGTCCACATATCTGGAGTATGATTTTCATACTCTCACTGTCAATGTCATTGGATGTAGGACCAAGCTGATGTCTCTTTGATTAGTGTAACTAATCCCATTATTTGTTTACCAGAGATTAGTATTTCATAATTAATTCCACAAACGTAGTGAGGAGATAGTCTCATATGAGATAAGAAGAAGAAACAGAAAAAGCTGCACTCAAGGAACTTGTAGTTCCCTTGGAAAGAAAATCCAGGTGTAGCAGATACTGAAAGGTTTCTGATGTAACCTATGGTTGTGGTACCACGGGATTCAAACTGAGCCTACATTTACCAGTTTCTGACTTGGTGACCTAGGTCAGGTGCAGAAGGACTCTGAACCTCAGTTTTCTCATCTGTGAAATGAACATGTTGGGCACTTACTCTAGGAGTCCCCCTAAGTTTTCCAGCTGGTGTAAAACATGATATTTACAACCCAGATATGAATGAGCACCAAAGAGCCTGTACAGTCTTGAGGAAGACATCACTTTCTGACTGTGCCTCTGAACTTTGAATTCCAAATAGTGGAGGACAAAGTACAGGGAATGTGTGGAACACACACTAGATTAGGAATCTGACTGTCACTGACTGTGTAAAGTTAGTTGGCTTATTTAATCTTTCTGAATCTGTTTCTTCTCTTGTACAGTGGGAATAATAATGTCTGCCCTGTTTACAAAGTAGCTGTAAAGATCAACTCTGATAATGCACGTAAAAGTGTTTTGAAAACTAACAAGCATCATGGAAATTAAAAATAGAGACAAGGCGCCATGACTCCTTTCTATAGAAGACACCTCCAATGATGACTGCCTGGAAGATGGGCTTCCTCTGTCTTTTGGCTTTATAGCAATCGGAAGATGCTAAGTCTTGGGCAAAATTGTACACAACCGGAATGACATACAATTTGCTGTGCTGCTGTCAGGATAGGATGTTCCTTGATTTTCAGTTTCCACATGTAGATACTGAAGACAAGGTCTTTTTCATATATAGGTAAAGTCCCAGAGATCTGTCTTAGGACATACAGAATACTTGGTTCAATAAGCTTCACTGGATTTTAAAGACTCTGCTGCTTGGAGGTTTCCTTGAAAGTAAGACACGGTATTGACTGGGAAAAAGTGAGGATGGTGAGAAACTCTTTTGAAGCTTCTTGGTTGATCCTCCCTTCTGAAGAAATACATGTTTTTATTCTTAGCAGGAAAAATAAAACAAAAACAAAACTGTTCTTTTCATAATATGCTCCTTACTAAGAATTTTGTTAGCTTCCTTAGGGAAATAAAGTGAATTTTAAAAGAAACTTCACCTTCTTGCTGAAACGGGTGGAGGAGTCACATTGGGTTCTGAGAGAAAGGACTTTGGCTCTTTAGAGAAATTGTGTGCCTCTGAGGGGAAAACCTTAGAAGGAGGGAAATGTGGTGGGGATAAAACCCCAAAAAGGAGCAAGCCCACCTTTTTTTCTGATGATCAGAATGTTGATAAAGTAGCTAGCAATGTATTCATCCCTGTGGCCTATGGAAATCTTCCAGCAGGTTCTCAATTAAGGGTGCTGCCTTTCCCTTCCTTCTCTTAACTTTTGTGTTAAATGTTAACAACCTGATGCTATCTATTATGGTGCCATTATCACAGAATGTTGACTGAACTGGTTCTTTTACCTCCATTATGGAGCTGCCTCGCTTGCAGATTTATGCATTTTTGATATTAAATTCTTTTTCTCATTAAGCCTACGCTCTTGTTGACTTTTATTGACCCCCTGCCCTGGTCCCCAATACTTTTCCATATTTAATATTGAAACATTTTTCTCAATGCCCCTCTTGGCTTTGTTGCCATCCATTTGACGGCAGTCCCTAATGGCCTGTGCTTGTTTGCTCTGTTCTTGAACTTGGTGGGGTCACACATTCTTAAACAGTGATGTCCTCTGAATGTCCACCCTTGCTGTCCAGCTAAGTTGCCCTGTGTCACAAGCTCTGCCCTTTTCTCCACCCCTAACTACCAACTGCTCCTAATCGCTTAAACAAACACCTTCCCTAGTGGTTCCCCAGGGCCCCTAAGCCTTTTGGGTTTTGTTTAGCTGAGATGCTAATGCTCTGCCTGGCCCACCGGCAGCTTGGCCTTGCTGACCTGATACATCGCAGCTCTTCTCCTTGGAGCGCCTGCCTTGTCCAGTGCCCTCTGGGCCAAAGGCCAGGGTCCGGGCAGGATTGACCAGCTGCTTGAGGTGGCCACAAAAGACACCAAAAGACAACTTCAGCTTGGAGCGGGCAAATGGATGTATTCATTTATCTTTCTTTCTCCCCCAAACCTATCCACAAACCCAATCTACTGCCTGGCTTGCAACGAAACAAAGGGAAAATATTGGGAAGGGGGGCAGGAGAGGCCCATCTCGCACCAGAAATCTTAGCTCCCTTCTTAGGGGCCGTCTGTTCAGTTTCACAACACTTACAAGACCAATTTCCAGAATTGAAGTTGCCTGGTGTTTTGATTCTTCCTATGCCTGTGCATTTGTGCCCTGAAGGTCCCTTCCAAATGGATACTAATTGTGGGGGCTGCACGCTGCTGGCTGCTCCAATGCCCCAGGGCCCTGAGGACCTGCTTCTCAAAGCCTTAATTGACAAGGACCTGTCTGTATTTAGGAGCAGCTGGTCCAGAGCGTTGGCACATCAGTGCAATCTTAACACAGCATCCCTAGCCCCGAGGAGGATGAGGGTAAATGTGGTTAAAATGAAGGAAGATTTATAGCCGGCCCCCTTGGGTAATACGACAGAAGACAGCTCCCAAGATTTTCCCCTACGAGGGGGTTCATTCATCAGCTCCCGGGCCTGGTAACCGGGTGGGAGGCGCGCTCTAGCTATTATTACTCATGGGGGAGGGGAGAGGGCCCTCTCTGAACAATTAAGCAGGTGACAATATTCCACTGTAATGCATCGTCCCCCAAAACTGGACTGAGGTTTTGCAGGCTATCAAGGCTGTCTCGGCGGGCCTCGGCGCCGGTGCCTCCGCCTGGGTCTGGCTCTGGGTTAATAGCGGCGCCGCCGGCAGGCTGGGAAGGGAGAGGAGAGTGCGCTCTGGCTGCCCTGCCCGGGAAGAGGAAGGCTTTCGGGGGCCGCTTGCACTCCTCGTTAGGGTGTTTTCAAACGGCCCGAGGTAGGGGCGGTTGCGTGGACTATTTTGTCCTCCCTGCATCCCAGCAGGCGCGCCCGGCTCCCCGAGTCCCGGCTCCACGCTGCGAGCGTCTTTCTGAAACCTGCTTGTTCCGTCGATGCAGCCATTCAGCCAGTCACAAAGGTTTACTGGTTCGAGAGGAACACAGTTTCGTTGCAATGTGTGGGAAATACTTTGATGTCCGCCCAGTTCGCACGTGTGAACAGGGATAATGGGTTTGTGGATCTTCATTGAAATTTGAAGTTTTAAAAGCAGAAATTCCCTAACTTTTGCCTGTTTTTCTCAACTTTTTTCCCCCTCTTTTTTATTCCTTCAGGGACAATGCCAACATTGAAGCCCTCGGTTGGAGTCTGCACAGTTGGAGATCTTTGGTGCCATTTTAGACGTCTTTGGATTTCATCAATCAAACTGACTGCAATTTTCCATAAAAACCCTGAATTTGGGTCAGAAAGTGGGCAAAGTAGATAAAGATCATTCGAGCTGTCTTATAAGATGATAAATAGATATCCTTTCAGGCCAACAATGCCAAAGTGCAGTTTTGTGATTCTCTTCCATGGGTTCTGAATGCAGTGAGTCGAAACGATTTATACATGTTTTCCCATGGTTTAGGAGGTGTCTTTACATACTTGTCAATAGTACCCTGACCTTTATCCCCACTGAGTTGCTAAGTGTGTTAGTTGCTTGGGGTGGTTTTTTTCTTGGTGCGTGCGTGCGTGCGTGTGTGTGTGTGTGTTGCCCCCAAAACACACAAGAAAAAAGTGCTTTTTAAAATTTTATTGCTCAAATAAATAGAATATGGGTCTTATCTAGGTAATTCTCTGCAAATAGACTGGTTGCAGGAGCCCGTGAGCTGGTGTAGAAATTCTATTTGCTTTGTGGAGTTGCTCATGAGGCACTTTTGACACCCTTTTGGACACCATGCTGGGATGTAAACTCATTTTCTTAACGACAACAACAACGCCCACTGGCATTATGTCCTTCATATTCTTGAACTTGACGAATGGCCTTTTGTATAAGGTGAATAAAAGAAAACTCTAAAAGAAACAGCAAGAATAAACCCCGAAAGGATATTAACCCAATACCTCCAGAGACCTTTCAAAATGTTAGCTGAAACAATGTCTTAGTGAATAAGAGCATTTTACATCTTACCTCTTCATTATTAAAAATAATCGGTTTATTCAGCATATATGATGCCACTTTCCACTTACTGTCTCAGCTTTACTCCCCTTCTTTTAAGTCTTCTTGACCCTTTTTCCCTCAAAATGCTTTTATTTTGATAATCCTTTCACCCAATGTTTTTAGTTAACCAGGTATTAAAAAAAAGGTTCTTGAAGAATTACAGGTTCTTCATGGAGAAACCATGCTTGCTATTCTTGGCTGTTTATGAATTAATAAATCTGATGTGTCCTCATGAGCTCATAGATCTTGTGGGGGTATACACAATTATGCAGCGAATACATTTCTTTTTCTTGATGTAATAGTTTTTTCCCTACATCCATCGCATGAGCATCATCTCCTTACTGTGCTTTGCCTTTCCAAACTTGCTAATTATCAGATGTACGTTACGAAGCATTTATAGAAGAGAGTATAGTACACTAGGAGTTAATTACTGTTATTAACTTACTGGCTTTATTAGTTTTGAATGAAGCACATAGCTGTGGCTACAGTTATTTAAGCACTCTTTATTAGCTAAAATAATTTGCAATTTTTGGACGTACACTCACCATGTAAAATTTAAAATGGCAACTGGAGATTCAGAAAATATTCCCACCTCTCCTCATTTGTCTTTAATAAATCTTGCTGTCAGGTACTGCACATTTAGACTTAATGTATAGCTATCTGAATGACCTTTTATCTCTCTTTCAATGCCATTATATTAACAATATTTTACATTTTGTATGGTGAAAAACATATGTAGTAAGTTATATCTTAATTATAATTATATTTGCTGAATTTCAAAAGACAACTGCAAATAGCAAATTCATAAAGAGAAAAACCTAATTATTTGTCATAATTATTTATCTAAAACAAAAGACCTAAATACATCTAATATTTTTCCTTTTTCCCCCCTCTTTTTCTTTTATTCCTAATATTTATTTTAGACATATCTATGGTATCCACAAAATCCATTTAGTAAACAAAAGGGACAGGGGGATGTAGAGTAGAAAAACTAAAAGCTGAAATTTTATTAGTAACTTCCAGTCAGGATAAATCATAAAAGCATATCTAAAATCATTATATAAATAAATAGAATGGTAGAATTTTGTTCACCATTGTAGCCTGTTTTACACGACTTCTTTCAGGAATCCACCTAGCACATCAAATAGTCACTTATAAAATTTTTTATTTTGGAATTTTGACCTGTTCTGTATATGTCGTAAAAGCCATTTGATTACTGTCATGGTTGGAGAGAGCAGAGGCCCTGTTGATTACGAGAAAAATGTCAAGCAGTTATATGCAGTTCACTATGTTCTCTAAATAAAGGACAGTGCAAAGGACAAATGGTGAAGCATAAACTTAAAGCTTCAGGTTTGAAGTTATGTTCTGGAAACAAGTATTTGAGTCTCTGACCAGAGATGGGAAGTTATATGGGCTTTGTCAAGTACTGGTTCTCCTAAGCATCAGAGAGGCAGTATCTGGATCAGTTTGACTTCCCATTTTTTAGATGAGAAAACTAAGCATGCACAGGTAAAATAATGGTTATGCTCTAATCATGGCAGTGCAACTGTAGCTTTTTCTCCCTCCTTTCTTGCCTCTTACTAAATCAGGGACATATTTCTCCAATTTCTTTCCCATATCCAAAAAAGAAAGAAAGAGAAAGGTAGGAAGAAGCGGGGGGGGAGACCCTCCAAAAGGCATTTACATCCAGTTCTTGCAGGATCCTTCTCCCACTTACAGCATACCTTTAATAAGCTAATGCCTGCACAAGCTAAAGGAAGTGCAAGGTCAGTTAAATCAATGCCAACAGCCCATTTGGAGAGTTATGCTACAGGAGTTCTCCTTTCATAGAAGATTTTTGTTCTTAGAATTATCTGGATAGTTCCCTCAGTATTTCCATTTCTGTTTCCCTTCTTACAATAAAATGAAAAAAAAAAAAAAAAAAAAAAAAAAAAAAAGAAAGAAATGCTCCAAAAGCAGGGTGAAAGGGGGCTGTGCCCTTACATACAAACAAGAAAAAAACAAAAAGAAGATATTTTGAGCCTCAATTGTCCAGTCTGCCTATAGATTAATCCTGAATTTATCATACAATTCATTCTACCCTCTCCTTTTCTAGGTAACTACTACACACATCCTAAACAATACATATAGAATTCACTTTATAACCTAATACTCTAATATTTAAAATCCATCATTTGACATAAATCCGTAATTTCACAATTACCAATTATGCTTTTCAAAAATCTTTTAAAGTTTATGTTAACATGCACAATAAGCAGTGATGACATTCTTCTTAGTTTCAATAATGACATTCATTAACTTGCTATCATCCCCTCCTCTATGAGGGTAATTGTCTTAGTAGTTATTGTCAAATCTTACAATTTCTGAAAATGATGTGGTTTACTAAGAATTTTTTAGGGCTTAAAAGGCAATACAAAGTAAATTATTTAAACTGATTTTATTTCTTCTTCTCATTTAGCTGGGTAATTTAAACAAAAGTCATCTAGGTGGGTATCATGAATTTTCTGAATGAGTTGACCTTCTCATCCCAGTCTACCATGTATATAATTTTTAAAATTGCTTGCTAAAAATGGCACTTTATCACTTTGTAAGTGTGCATTACAATTTTACTTCAGAACATTTTCAAGTTTTAATAAGGATTTAATAACCTCTGATTTAGAGGCAGCCAGAGCAATGTTGTTTACTTTAATAGAGGCTAACATATGGGAAGGGTTTTAAAGAGCCATTCACATCCAAACCCCAAAATGGTTTCAATCAGCAGGTATCCCGATGTTTATTTAATGAAGAAATGTATGAGCAGCTGCTGTTTCCCAGTTTCATTTGTAGTTATCTTTCATTGCTCTGCAACAAATCAGGAAGAAGAACAGATTTTAAGCTGTGATTTGGGATCATTCCATTAGATATGCAGGGCTACACCACTAGATTCATAAACAAGAACGATGAGGCTGGTTTACGGAAAAAATCAAATATAACAACACGGGGGATGGAATCTGTGGGCTGTGTTTTCACATCTATTGCTTAGTTTCTAGGTCATAAAATTTTTCAAGTTTAGATTAAACCTCAGAGGCCTTTGTATAGATAAATAAAAATCCAATCTGACACTGATTCTTGACTGAGCTTGTGGTTTTATTGCAGATGGACACATGAGGTTAATTTCTGTTATGCAGTGCATGGTGGGCATTGCTAACACCATACCCTTCTAACTATGCCAAGGAAAAAAGTGACAGGCATGGGAGTTTATGGGGCAATTATTCCTAGGACACACATTCTTACGGCAGGTATATCTAGCTGTGAATGCATTGTTCATTTTACTCCTGCTTAAAGCAAGTTCTAGAAATTTGGGGCTGTGTATATATATATTTCTTTGATATATGTCTGCTTTTTGAACAAATATGAATTAGGCGGATATATGCTGGTTACTCTCTCCTATTATCAATACATATGCCAGGCCTCTTAAAAAGGAATAAAGTTGGTATTTGGCAACCTTAATAGGAGACTCTCAATTTAAGAGAGCAATTATGAAAATCTTTTTTTATAACTTTGGCCTTGGGGATAGAGTTAACCGCAGTCTTATAAGTTTTACTTGATGTTTCTTATGAACTATTCCCAAGTTTGGTGGAAGGAATCATTTAAGAATGGTAGCTCTGAGTTTGTTATAATGTGGCCTACTATAAGATATAGTAAGGTTAAGTTAGAGTTATAAATTCTGCATCCAGTGCCAATAAAGGTGAATTCGAGAAGTGTTGCTTTGCCTCCCATGGATTTGTCACCCGTTTTCCCCTGGGTGATGGAGCCACCAAAGATTACCCAAAGCCCATCTCTTTTGAGCAGTGAGAAGCCCCAGAAAGTGGTTAATATCCCAGAACTTCCTCAAGTGTGAGGCATTTCTTCCATTTGGGAAATTAACCACAAATTGGGGTTCTCTTCCTGCATTTATTCTGCACACCAAGAAGTTACAGGAAGAGACATAGGTGGGGTTTTGCTAAGTACAGTTTAACAAGTTTTACAATAGAAGCTGGTAACATTCAGTAAAAACAAGTCAGATGACATTCTTTTAGGCAATTAAGTGATCCATTAACAAAGGCTTGATTTAGCAAACATTCCTTTTCCCTCCAGCAGCTTTTTAGTAACTTTACATATCATTTAGTAACTTGTCTTAGAACCAGCAGCCTTGCTGTGTTAGGATTCTTATCTTGCAACAGAGACTCAATAGCCTGGGGAAAATTTCCTGTCCTTTGCAAGGTCAATATTTAAAACTGCAAGGCTTTGGAAAACCAGGCCCTGTGAGGTACATTTGTTTTATGAATCCTCTACAGAGAAATTCTTTTAGAATACAGCTGTTCCCC